GAGTGCATAAGTACCCTATAAACAGCCGGGTCAGGGAGGGCTTTGAGTGAGGCGGGGGTGGGGGAGGGGGGTGGCCAGTGGCTCTGTCGGGGTGTCCGCTGTCCACCCGAGCGAGGCCAGGTGCCTGCAGAACAGCCCTCACTGCAGTTCGGAGTCAGTCTCAGGCCCGTGGACGCCGCCGCGGGCGCCGGGCCCGGGCAGCCAGGAAGGGCCACAGGGATCGGGGGACGGCGGCCGCGGTGCCGCTGGGACCCTGCCGGGGCCGCGCACGCCCAGCCCAGGCGGCTCCCCGCCTTCGCCCGAGGTCCCGATCCCGCCGACCTGCACAGACACGGGAACCCTTCCGCACGCAGCTCGGCCACTCTGGGTCCGTCCGCCGCCGAGGCCCCGCCCTCGCCCACAGGCCCCGCCCCGCCCCGCAGGCCCCGTCCCGGGCCGCGCCACCTGCCAAACCTGGAGGGGGGAGGACGGGACGGCGGGCAGGGGGAACCGCGAGAGCTCCCGCGAGACCACTCTAGAGCCCAGGGGGCCCGAGCTTTGGAGCAGGATCAACCTGAAAGGCGTCGGGGGCAGGCCAGCGCCAAACTGGTCGCCGCTACCGAGGACATCCCCCCGCCGGGATACTCAGTGGTACGTGCCAGAGCGTCCGACGGGCGTAGCGCCAGGAAGGCGGGGCTCCAGGAAGGGGCGGGACTATCCCCGGAAGGGGCGGAACTGTCCCCGGAAGGGGCGTGGCCCACCAGGCACGGGACCTCTGGGCTGGGCTGGGGGGTGGAGCACGTGCCCGAAAGGGGCGTCTTCACCCTGGAGGCAAAGTTTGCGGTCGTTTGGCCTCAAAACTGGGCCCTCTGGGGCCCGCCGCTGCCCGAGGTCCTCCAGGCCCGCGGATAAAAACAGAAACAAGGCTCATCTGTACAGAGTCAGTTTTCAGCAACATTTTGGGGGAAATACCTGACCTGCAGGTACAAGGAAATGGGAAGCAGAATTCCTATGAGTATTAAAGCAAAGTAAAAAGGGGGCTTTAAACACGTGAACTTTGATGGAGGACCCACTTGGGGCCACACCCTGCTGGTCCTCACGCTCCCGGCCCCCAGAAGCACTTGGGTGCAGAGGTCGCCCGCCCTGGGCTGGGCTCCTATTGGAGAGCGGGGCTGGGGGGGGTAGATGGCGCTGCGCGAAGAGCCTCGCTCGGTACAAACTCGGCGACTCCGCGCCTCCAGGCGGCACCGCCGCCGCCCCTCCGACGAGGAAACGGGCGCAGAGCGGCTCACGGGCTTCCCGCGGGGCGGGCGGGGGCGCCGTTCGGACTGCAGAGCCCGAGGCCTGGCCCCCGCCCGCACCTCCGGGAGCGAAGCCGGTCGGCCCGCCCGCGGGGGTTGCCGCGCACGCGCACAGTCGGCCGGCTTGCCGGGCGCCACATCCGGGGCCCGCGCGGTTGCCATGGCAGCGGGGTCGC